TTGAAATTATTTGAACGGCCCTTTGATTCTCTGATCTGTCTTGATGTTCTCGAAGCTTGAATTTGTACATGGAATACGAAACTTCAAGACATTGAAAATTTTCAGACTTTGGACATACTTACTTGGAAAACTGAGGTAATTTTATCCAGAAAAATGAATAGACATCCATACATAGAGACAGACGATTAAACGTCACAACGTAAATAATGATCAATCTTGAAATAAATTTACGCTAAAAAAGTTGAAAATAGTTACTTATTGCAAGAAAAAGTGACTTTAGTGACTCGGTCTTAAAAAAGAGACTTTTTAGTAACTGACTTGAAAAAAGTGACCAAGTCACTAAAAATGACTCGCTACCAGCCCTGCCTCTGAACAGCAGCACTATTTTCCAACCATCGGTGACCGCAAAACTTTAACGGGAATATGGTACATCCAGAATACATCGTGATAAACGCTCGTCTTGCTGGTACATCTTTAAAGATATTTTAGATACCACGCAAATATTGGACAACATCCCAACTGATACTGCGAACACTATCCTTGAATGCATTATGCAAAATAAACAGCCCACAGCTTCCCAGATCTATCAGCTTCTCGCCACCTTTTTTTACCTCTAGCTTCAATTCACATTGGGCCCATCCGCAACCGGCAAGGGCATCCATAAACGCAGCGAGTAGATCTGATGCCCGGGATCGTCCCAAAAACATTGACGTCATGCACTGATAAAATTTCAAATATTGTTTTTATGAGTTCCACACGTGATTTTTTGCGATGTGATCAACATAATTTTTTTCCCTGACCTACACTAAAATTCCCTGACATTCCCTGACTTTCCAGATCATAAATAGAATTCCCTGACATTCCCTGACTTTCCAGGTTTTTCCAGGTAGTCGACACCCTGAACAAACACCTCGGATAGCACTATTCGATTTTGTTTTAGTGTGCTCTCAAACCGCTGAGAAAATCCTTCTAGGCAGTTCAATGAATGTCAACGAAGTTTTCGAAAGTTCTACGATGTTTTTAGAACATCTATGAAATCTGAAATATTAAACACTTCTAACCTCCCGCAAATTTCAAAAGTTAGAGAGTTATTTTTCTAAATACACCTGGCATCCCTGGACTAAACAACTCCCACTTCCATGCCATATCTCTTTCTCTTTTACGCTACCCTTATGGAATGTGATGAAGGCATGAGGCAAATATAAAAAGAGGCATGGGAGGGGCGTTTAACTGAGGGTTTGCCACCTAAACAAAAGTCCTGAGTATGGCTCACATCGATAAAATATGGCTGGATGCATCTTAGAATGAAATTGTTCAGCTAGAAGAATCATTCTGTTATCGTAAAATTCCGGTTTATTGTACTTTAGATAACATTTATTTTACTAATTTGATTGAATTTTTCAACTAGGGTTGTTTAACCGGTTTTACCGTGCCATTCTGCAGTATCAAAATACTTCTGAAAACTGGAAATTTCGATACTTTTTATATCCAAAGGGTTATTGTTTATTAGTTCAATAAGAGCATTTATCAGGTTTACTGATCTGGTTGACATTAACAATCAAGAACTATCAATTTAAATCAATACAAAAATCTTATGTTATAAGATTCTTCAAAGGTTATTCAGGTACGAATTGTGTTTCAAAACAGCGTTTAATGCACTTTTTTGATTTTTATTTAGTTCACTTCAAGTCTAGTGAACTGAACAACCCTAAGCCCTTGAAAAAAGCTAGCCTTATGCTTAATGTCCGAGTGAAGTGGGAAAACTTCAGGAAGACTGGAGAAAATTTACAAAACCTCACCCAGTGGAATGTTACAGATTGAAGTGAAGTTCACGTTAAATAACAATGTTTTTTTTGTGATACAAAGTTATATCATTATCTAACGGTCATATTATAGCGCATTGCGCACATTGTAAGTGTGACGAAAATAGTGTACAATTATTACTTTAACAAAACAATTATAAAAAAAAAACATTAATTGGTCTACCTATGGCACGATCTGGCCCTTTTAACTAATTTTATATTTAACAAGAATGCCATGCTCATATGTTCGGCAATAATGTTTTTTTTTTTAATTCCTATGTGAATTGATGTCTCTTACACTGAGGCAAATAGACTTAAGAATTTCATAAGGCTCGACTTATGAACGATACAAAGTCATATGAATTTCATAAGAAAGACTTATGAAAAATTTTCGTCTTACATTACTCTTCTACGCCATTAGTCATTCCATTTTCCCAAGCGTTGACAGACGAGTGGTCTAGACACAGGACTCGTAATCTCAACGTCCATGGTTCGGTGGTGGTGGTGGTGGTAAGTGGTCTGCTCAGTTTTTTTTTATTTTTTCATAAGGCAAATCAATAAAAATCATGCTGATTTCTTATGGAATTCTTACGTTCTTTTGCCTCAGTGTATGATGAGATTTGACCATATTCAGGCCACTTCCCCGGAGGTATTTGGAAATCCTGGTGGCTGTAACAATTCCAAATGTCGAAAAGAGGCTCGGGAGCTTAGTCTAGATCAGTGGTGCTCAGGTAATATTGTATATTGCAAGGTTTTGCTTGTAATTTTTCATTTCTCGTGTAACACGGGAAATGGGCCTATCGAATTTTTTTTATGAATAACACGATTATAAACGCTCGAAATTATCATGGAGAGAAAATAGATGAAGAGATTCGATCAAAAATCATAGGCCCTTTTTCGTGTTGATTTTGGTATTTGCCAGAAGGGACTGTGCATGTACGTATGTACAGTACACATGGTTTCACTAACTCATTCACAAAAAGCGGAGTTGATATCAAAACTGTTTTTAAGCCTTGTAAAAACGATTCAACTGGGATGTTTGATTTCCAAACACATACCGGATTTTATACATCATCGGAATGAGCTTCGTTTCTGAGCACAAAGATATTTTTATCAATCCCATAGACATTCATATCGATTAATAAATCAAGATTTACATTTTGAATTTTTAACACTAAATCTATTAGATGACAGCTCGCTCCCACACAAAGTCCCACTGAGGGGCGCTAAGATGGTGATTTTTGCTGATGTAATCGCACTTTTTTTTTTTTAAATAGTTCATTTCGATTCCATTTTCAATGCAGATTACGAATATGTATTTAACTCAATACCCGTAAACACATCCAATTGAGCAGTTCGATATCAAATGACAACTCGACCAGACTCCTTCAATAGACATGAAACTTTGCATAACTGTTTGTTATGGGCATCATTTACATAGGTTAGGTTAGCTTTATTAATGAAACTATCAGCCGTTGGTAGGTTTGTCTCATTCCCAATTCATGGAATTCACATTTCAAGCCGAACATTGAATTAGGTCCTAAGTTTGACAGATTATCTCAGTCGAGACATCCTCACTGTCATTGATAAAAGAAACTATTATCTAACATCTAATACGGATAACACGGCAAAAAATGGCTTTGTTGCCAAGTTATAAAAACTCTGAACACGATGCCTTCGGTAAAATGTGTAATGGCAAACTTGCAATGTTTAAAAAATCATAGCTCAGCCATTTACTGACGAATATAAAATCTATTGTCGCCATTTGAAACTACATACTTTGAAGATTTATTCGGTATCAATTTGACACATTTTTGAAATCACTGAAACATTTCATTCCTTGCAGAAATCATGGTTCTAAAGAAGTTACGTGCACTTGAAAAGCACGAAAGCTAGATCAATCGAGATCTCCACGTTAATAGAATGAGCGTAATTCTATTCCAAGGTACAGAATCAAAGCATTTAGACTTAGGTGCCAAAACATGTTCACAAATCCGTCGTCCATCGATCGTTCATTGGCCGCTTTGTTCCTTCCGCGGGCAGAGTTAGTTGTTGAAATTAATTTATCTTACATGGAAATGTTTAATTAATTTCCCCAACCCGTCCCTCATTTGTCCTGCCATTTGTTCCTGTTTGCACCGTCTCCGAACCGTACGCTGTACTTGTGGGAATACACACTTCGTTCGGCTGCTACTGCTACCATGGATAGATATAGGGTTCATTCGTTATGATGATCTGCACTGAGAACTAAACCCGTCAGTTCAAGAGAAACTTCACGGGAAAAACTGAGCGCAAGTACCTACCTCCTCATCGGAAGGGTCCTCTGCTCTTCTGTGCACTGTTTCTGCCGGTGCTCTGTGTGTGCATATTTCACTTAATTCCCATCATCATTCTCATTTCGCTTTTATTTCTTTTTTCTTCACGTTGCGCCCCCCACCACCACCCGTTCCGATCCTTACTGCAACGGGCAGATATCTCTGTCTGTCTACGTTTCACAGTCTTGTCGGAGACAGTGTAGGAAACCTTCTCCTATAAGGTGGTTTTCTTTCGTTGCCGAGTATACAACAAAGATTCCACTGGTGCATCCTCGTTATGCAGCTGCGACACCGACCGAAGGCACGGTAGCGTGTCATTTTGGATTTTATGTTTTTCTCTTGGCAAGAAGAAAACACAAGTTTTGATTGCTATTGTTAGTTAGTTGTGATGAGAGAAGAAAATGACAACTACAAACAACGAGTAAAACATTTTGTTAACTTAACGAAGCCATCTGTCAAGCAAATCTTGCGTGTTTCGTCAAGTTTCTTCCAAAGTACATAAAGAATCAAAAACCATGTCAAGGTGTGCCATGGTGCAAAGGAGACGGGCGAAGGCGAGCGCAATGTGGAACACCTTATATAGAGTTAACTTGAATTTTTACTGGTGTGAGCAAATGAAAACGGAGAAAGAAAGAGAGGGAGCGGCTCGGTTCGCCGTAGATGGAGTTTGAGAGAAGATAACGCGACGGGTGAACTCGTTCGTTTCGGTGTGATTTCCCAGGTCGATAATGGAAAGCGAGTGGAAGTGAACAAAAAAAAAAGTCTTAATAGAACAGAAAATTTGTCTCTCACACGACGAATATAAAGAGCCCAAGGCGTTGTGTGTAAAATAAATATTCAAGGTAAGGTAGACGGGTAGAAGAAGAGAGAGAGAGCAACTTACCACCAGAGCATTAGGTACATGCATCAGCTCATGTTTCTCAAGTAAGTCACGATTTGGGAATGAGGCGGAGCATTGTAAGCATGCGTAGGGTTCTCCACCGTTGCTGCTGCTGCCGTGGCCTCCACCGACCCCACAGTTGCTTCCTCCACCAATACTGCTGCTGTTGCTGTACGTCGGACTAATAGACCGCCCACCTTCGTCAGCAATTGCGGCAGCAGTGGCGGCACTGAGACCACCACCTGCCGAGGTACTTCTACTACAGCTACTGCTACTGCTGCTGCTACTACTGCTGTTGCTATTACTACTACTACTTCTGCCATTAGTCGCCAGCGAGGTTGGCTCGTTACAGTGGCTGCTGTCTAGAGCAGAGGTGGAGGCAGGAGGCGATGGAAGCGAAGTACCTATTGGTTGGAACGATTGCCGATAGAATGCTGACAGTGGCGGGGAGGGCGTCGCCGAGCTATGCTCCTGCTTAATCATGGAATGCACGGTGTCTATGTGCGTTTTTAGTGCCTGCAGGTGAAATCGGAAACAGGAAATGTCAAATCTATGTTCACTGTAAAAATATATTCCAAGTCTCACCTGAAAACCCTGCAGCGTTTGGTGACACTGCGGACACTGGAGGAAGCAATCCGCCTGTGGAGTGTTGCTCTCATCATCTTTTGGTAGTCCGGATGCCAATGCTGGAACTGGAAGAAAAGCAGAAACAACGAAATCGTCATAAGTAACTGTCTGCGAGCAATGGAAGGAATTTTAAAGCGAAAGCAGATGATGATCTCATCGGTTCTGTTCCATCCAAGTGCGGAGATCACATCGAGCACACAGCGAGCTCGTACATCACTACCACTAGAAAGCGACTATGGCGTGTGATGATGATAGCAATCATATAATATAATGATAATCTCATATTTTCCTTTTCGCATCAGCAACATCAAACGAATACGTGGTGGATGCCCTGTGGAAGGGCTCTCAGTACGCTCAGCATTCTCGTCAAATCATCCCAGTCTATTCAAATTCCACGACCCACTTGCTGTTGTAGTGCTTTTGTGTTCACTCCTCTGGCTCTCTATTCGTTATCGTTGAGTTGCCGTTGGAACTGTTTCGTTCGACAAGGAGTGAGAGTGAGTCACACGCAACCACCTTAATTTATATCAATTAACTGGACCGCAACAACCGACCGGAGACGACGACGACGAGAATCGACTCTTCAAACGTCGGCATCAGAAAACATGCTGGCCCAGTCCTGAATGTGATGATGGGGGTACCAATTCAGGGCTTTATGTTTCTTTTTATTTATTGTTTCACTTTCCGATTTCTGAACTCCAGATGAGTCTGCAGCCTCGGAGGGAACAAGATTTTATTTACTCGCCCGGTATACTTCTACGAACACAAGCCGGACTTGTTGAATGTGTTCAAACAAGCGGAAGGAGCCAGAAAACTGTCAAACTAGCACCGTTGGAACAATTGTAGTGTTTCCACCACCGCCCTCCCCTTCTCCGCATGGCCTTTGAGAAGTAAACTTTTCCCATACACGTATTTTCGTATGCAAGTTCGGGGGAAAACTTACTCTTTTTATGCGGAGCGTGCAAACAAATCCGACACACAAGGGTAGAACATAAGTAGGATCATTTATTTCCATAAACTCCCTCACATGCGGGTCCTACCCGTCTACGCATCACAATTGGCAACCTTGAAATAGGATCGGAAATCCTATTTTGACAGTTTGGATTATTCCTTGTGCCGCTGCTCCTTTGGGACTTGCCGTGTGTAGACATACCCGTCGTCGTCATCGTCGTCGCTACTTTGGCCCCCAGAGACATCAACAGTCGATTAAGCCTGTTGTCTTTAGCGGAGACAAGAACCGATTTGTTTTGCCATGGCAACCTCCCTCCCACCGATGCACCGCAAGCTCGGTCACGGGAGAAAGTTGAATAATGAAGCTCATTATTTACTGATTTCGGCATTCCCATGCCACATACAGCTCTGTACAGAACTCACCGGTCTTGAGAGACGGGGAATGCAAACAGCTGTCAACTCGTCGTGGGGGTGGATCAGGCAGAAAGTTCTGTTTAGACAGGCGTGCTCCCCGGTAGATATTTCAATATATTCCAATAAAACTTTCAAATAATATTTCATTTTCGTTCGTTCAGTGCGCCTCGGAAATGCCGACGGCTCTGAAGAGTGAAAGTGGTAGACACTGCTCCGCACGCACACGGCTTCAGTCAATTTAAAAATACGCCTGTCAAACTTTCACGCTGCTCATTTTTCTCTTTTGTTTCCTGCTCGCGGTCGGTTTCAAGGCTAGAAGCTCCGCTGCTTAGAAATCCTACCTGTCAGCTTGCGCCGGCTCTGCCTAATTGACCGGTTCGCTTTACATCAGTCGATTTCCCCCCGTGGTTGTCAATTTGTCTTCTGCAGTTTCGGGTATGACCATTTTTCAGCTTAATTGAAATTCTTTTCGGCGCTAATAATGCAGCAACCAGAAGGAATCGGTTCGTTTAGCGCAATACACGAGACGAACACTTTTTTTTTCTCTTGGAGATCGCCATCAAAGTAACACGGAATGTTATCGCTATCAATACGTGCGCTCGCGACCTGCTGGGATGTCTGTGCGAACAATAACCTCAATTTTTCGCTCTCTCTCTCGTGTCGCAATAGGAACGAGGGAGAGGACACGACGACCCGATGAAAGATGCAGGGATGGGTTTCTTGGACGAAAACGACAAATTGATTTCATGTCGACTTCGAGTGGCTCGATTGACGGTTATGAAGTGTGCTAGCGAGTCCGTGGACTGCGCTGATAGCATGGTGTTTCTGTCAAACGGCGACGATGACGACGATGATGATGACGGCGGCGGTGCGATGATGAAAATGATTACATGTATCGATGGCGTAAATTGCCGTCGCCGGGTGATGAAGTTTTATGATGAATGAGCTCTTCTTTCCCGAGCACGGTCGGCACGGTGTTTCGCGGGCCGGATTTGACCTGGGGAGTACCAAAATAGAAGAAGGTTTCCTCCCCTCGCACCCCCACTCCACGCACGTGAAGTGATCAATGTGGAAATTAATTGGCTGCGGTGCTGCGTTCGATAGAATTCAAAACCATAAATCTCGGAATGGTTAGTTGGAAAAAATGCGACAGTCGAAATTCCATCTGTTGGAGAGTTCTTTTCTTCACAATGGTGTCACGCCGTCGTCGTTCCACCATATGTGTGCGTTGCGTTCCTGAATGTTTCGGTGGCGTGACTTTGTTTTCTCGGGATTATGTCACATTCTTTGTCTTTGAAGGTGATCACGATGAACTGGCTCCGAACTCTTAGAGAAAGAAGCCCTAGCTGTTGTGAAATCGAAGTTAACGATCCTACTGATGAACGGAACTTTCACAAAAGCAGGTGAACCGAAACCCTGCACAACACTCACATGTGCGTGCATTATAGGAAATTCAATTTCCATAAATCACACTTCCAAACTTCGGTGCAGAGCGACTCACTATTCCCAAGTTTCCTCGGTCACCTTTCAACGCGTGAAGCAATAAATTTCTTTCACGATTTACATTAATAAAATGGTTCATCTTTCTCATACTTGTGAGTTTTTTCGTTTTTCCGTTCATCACCGGAACTCGGGTCTCGTAAAAAAGAATACTGCACTCAAATGTGTTAAGACGATCCCTTAGGTGTCATTTCTTGGGAAAGGCCATTTTCATAACACATTAATTTTATGCCTTTTAAATGATCCCGCAGCTAAGTGGGCTTTCCCATCAATCGCTATCACCTTGTGATGTTTTCGTGGAAAAATGGAGGTGGATTCTCAATGAACGAACCCGTCGCCAGTAATTCTAGACCATTAGGCAAAAAGCAAGATGCACTCCGTTAGGATCGTTGCTACAGTTGGTGCTATTTTCCGTTGACCACCGGCGGAGTGACCCCACGGCGCGAGCAAAAAAAACAATAATAAACACAATTGTTAATGGTCCGGCAAGATGTCATCAGTAATAAACGTCAAACGACGCAACAAGAGTGTTTACTTAGCCTCCTCCGGTCATTTTTTTTGTCTGCTTTGTATACCATTGTCAGTTTCTTTTCTAGACCGGGCGGTTGCGTGTCGAGTTGCGGGTGGTGAAATGGATTTTTAATACTCACGTCAATTTCCTCGAGCTAATTTTCTATCACGAGTCGCACGAGCAACCAGTTACGTACGTGCGACGCCAACAACGCGACAACGACTCAAAGGGAAGGACACTTAATTAGTTGAAATATAAGCAACCGGTGACCGGTGTCGTCCACACACAGGAAAAAGGTGAAAAAACAAACGTCAATTTTCACTATTCACCACACCGCTGATGCGCGACCGGCTGTTAATGGTGGTGCGGCAATCGACGTTTGATTGAGGTGACTGACATATATGCGGAGACTAATGGCGCTTCTTGATGAGGTAGATGGACGTGCGGATCGCAAGGTAAACACGTACACCTCCACGGTGGTACTGAAGCGAATGGTGGACTATTTTCAGGGGAGCAATCTGCGGTAAAAGAGTTTAATGTTATTTTTGCTTTTTTTTTCGCTCGCTCACTCTCGCTTGTTGTGCTTGCCGAGGGATGCTGATCGTAAAATAAGACAGGAAAATGTGGTAAGAACGTTGTTTTCTTGTGTGTTATTCTTTTTCCAAACAAATGCCGAGAGCGAGAGGACCCAGGAGCGTATGTGGAGAAGGTGTCTGCGAAGGAAAAACTTGCGTTTGTTTACACAAGTGGTGGACAACGACGTGCCGTGAGTTCTGGTTCCAAAATCTTCAATATGTTGGCATTTTTATCTTGCTTGAGGTAAAGTGGTTTCTCGTTAGGAAATAGCCCATATTGTTTTTCGTTCCCGGATGAGGTTACCGGTAGTGACCTCTCTCGGTGAGCTCGAATTAAGATCTTTCTGTGAAGCAATGAGACAGCTGCAGTGACAGCCAAACACGTGGATTAACTATTTGACATTTTGAGGCCCCGGCGGTTATCGAACATCAGGGCAAGTCTGCGGCAGATGAAACGTGAAATGTAAACAACCGCACCTTTCGACGGAGCATACCGCCGTACGTGCTACACTACGACACGGTTTGTAAACATACCGTGTACCCGCACGTTGCAGTCCGATGCATCGCTACGCCAAACGTCAGTGTTTGCATGAAGTGATTAATTTGAGAGACTGCGTCCCCCACCGTAATTGGGTTACACACGGCTTACACGGAACATATTTTAAAATGATAATAGACAGAGAAACGGCCGTTCCCAGAGCCACGGGAAAAGTGAGATTTATGTGGTTGATTTTCTGGTCGAGTTTGTTTTCGTCCATCGGTATCGGTTGGGAATCAGACGGACTGAAGGCTTGTGTGCTTCATCCCCTCCCCCCCCCCCCCCCCCCTCATCACTCCTCGGTGACATAGGTAAATAAATTTTCGTTCAACTCTTTTCAGAAACATTCTACGCGCACGAGAGCGGGCACTGCTGATAAACAAATAAATTTTGCACAGTGCGCGCCACTTCGGCCATTGAGACCAAGCGGAGCGATTTATCGTTTCGGTTGTCCCTTTTGGGGGCGGTAACAGCCAACAACAACAACAGTTCAATTACACCGGCACTTATAGTAGGTAGCTCTATGTGCGTCCATTGTGAGCAGTAATTTGACTCCAGAAAGCAGCAGTACGTTTA